TTATACTACAAGTATTGTTATGTAATTGAGCAGTGTTATATTCCTTATTAGAGTCGTAGAAGTTAGGTAATTTCCCTATTAGTGTTAGGGTTATTATAGAAGTCAGTCTCTGTACTCTATATAAACCAATGTTGTTTCAGTAATAATACACAACCGTTTCCACCATATTCAGATTTCCTAACATGGTATCAGAGCCTGGTTACTGATAAAAAAAAAAACCCTAAACCTCTTTTTTCTTCCTCCGCCGCCCACCATGAGTTCGCAGTCGCCTGGTTCTTCATTCCAATGCTGATTTCTTACGCCAAAATAAATTGTTGTTCTTCATTAAAAGCTTAATTGCATCTTATTCGTCCCCCACCCTTTGTCAAACCCTTGTTTCCCAGCTTTATCATCCGTGCAGATTCAAATAGCCATGCGCCCATGCCTCTGTCCCACTAGTTGGATCCAGCTTGATTATTTGCAATTGATACAAAGTCTGTTTCAGACTACGTTTGCTCGTTTTGCATGAGAAGGCTGTTCCACCGCCCTGAAATCCCCATGTTCACTGTTGCCCGTGTCTGGGACAAGAAGCTCTTTGGAAGCACTAGGTCATCCACGTTGCCAAGCAGGAGGGTCATCCAAGTCGGTTTGTCCTTCAAAAATCCAGATTCTTGATTTCGTTCTGTTTTATGGTAGTTGTTCGGAACACCTTGGTTAAAGATGTTGTTCGGAACATCTCTGTTTGATAAATGCTGTATGGAGCATTTTTGGTATGTTTCTTCGTTTCGATGATGCTATATGGAGCATCCTGATCGCCATGTTGCTGTTCGGAGCACGTGGTTCTGTTTCCGTTTCGATGATGCTGTTCGGAGCATCTTGATAGCTGTGTTGCTGTTCGGAGTATACATGGTTTTGTATTGGTTCGACGATGCTGTTCGGAGCATCTTTGGTTAGTTTACGTGATAATTAGTTTCTGAAGCTTCTTTGGAGGACAAGCGTTTGGAACGACTAGGCAGGTTTGGCAAGAGATCTCGTTACATCCATTAATCACCATCAACGTTTTTGCGGGGCGTGGTTATCTTCGACATTGGCGTAAAGTTTGGGAGCAGTAGTGGTTATCAGTGTCTTAGTTATAGATTTTTTTTCTTCTTCGTTTTGTGTTAGTTTTTGTTTCGGTTTTCAAATTGTTGGTAAGTAATTACCATCAATTTGGGGGAGGGTATTAGAGTATGGGTAGTACGAGTAGTATTATGTTATACTACAAGTATTGTTATGTAATTGAGCAGTGTTATATTCCTTATTAGAGTCGTAGAAATTAGGTAATTTCCCTATTAGTGTTAGGGTTATTATAGAAGTCAGTCTCTGTACTCTATATAAACCAATGTTGTTTCAGTAATAATACACAACCGTTTCCACCATATTCAGATTTCCTAACATACCCACCCACACACATATAATTACTTTTCCGATATATTTAATATTCTAAATAATATATCTTCCTTAAACAACTAATATTGTTTATATTTGTGGAGACATGTATAATTTGTTCTTTCTAATTGTTTAAAATGAAGTTGATATGATGAAGTGGAGAATGAAGAAACTTAGTTGACGAGGAAGAAGCTTTCAATTAATCTTATTGTTTATAGATGTTTATCTTTAATTTTGAAGAATTTGTACTGATCATTTGCGGTTTGCTTGTATGCTCTAGATTGGTGTTTTTTGTATGATTAATTTGTATGAGAAAATTGATGCTAAACTTTTATTTTGAAAGAAACTTGTTATTGTAAATTTTTACCACAAAAACTCATGGGTACACATGAACCCGCAGATACCCAGCGGGTTGGGTTGGGTTTGAATTTTTCAAACCCAACGGATTTTACCCTGAATTTTTTTGACGGATAAACCCATGGATTTGGGTTTGACAAAACCCGCCCCAACCCGACCCATTGCCATCCTAGACAACCTTGCGTAAAAAGTGACGTGTTAGCCCGCATTCGGGTTAATTGCACCGACTGTCACTTAAGTTTACAATTCGTTGCACGGTAACCACCTAAATACGTTTCGTTGCAAGCTAACCACTTACGTCGAATATACGTTGCAGCGTCACCATTTTCGTCACTTTAACTAATGGCAGGTACCAAAAGAAAATTTTCCACGCCATGTCAACTTGTCACGTCAGCTCCAGCCACCTATTCATACCTGGTTCACCTCATCTACACAATTTCACTACTATTTTATGGCCCTCCTCTCTCACTTTCACGCCCAAAATAAGAATCTCCTCACCATTATCTCATCTCCAATCCTTTCCTCTTCTCAAATCTTTGCTTTTAATTTGAGGAACGGTTGAGGGCAAAATCTATGATGATTTCCTTTTGGACTCTTCCTTGTCGCTCCCGCTGTTAATGGATCTTCCCTACGGTCACAACGATTTCACCAAAGTGACGTCATCTAGAACAGCAGCGACTGCGGTGGCGGAAGGCAGTTTCAATTATGGGTTCCCCAATTCCTGCAAAGTAGTCAATAATTACCATCTATATACTTTTCTGAATTTGGCGATGGGGTATTTGCAAGGCGGCGGCGGACAGTCCAAGGTCGAGCAGTCGAAGGTAAGCCTTTCGCAAGACACTGGCTGAGTACGGACAATATGAGCGCCACACCGGAGATCTCGTCGGCGGACGGGAAGGGATACGATGGGTTGGAGGATCCGACGTCGACCGGAGGGTCATCGAGTATGGCGGAGTTGGACTGTTTCTGGGATAACTACTGATCGTGATTTATTCGGGTTCATGAATCAATCGTGATTCTTAGACCCACCCACCATGGGATTGTTTGATTAATTAATTAAATCAGCATTAAGGGTGATTATAATTAGGAGATTAATAAATTGGGGGAGGGGGGAAAGAAAAAGTGATTAATTCGCTCACCCAAAATATGAGAACAAGCATAGTAAGCACTAGGTCAGAGCTGCGAAACTCAAATTAAAAGCAAAGATTCTCGTGGCAAGTTTGACTAGGCGGCTGTAGCTGACGTGGCAAGTCGACATGGCATGGAAAATTTTCCTTTGGTACTTGTCGTTAGCTAAAGTGACAGAAATGATGGCGCTGCAACGTTTATTCGACGTAAGTGGTTAGCTTGCAACAAAACATACTTAGGTGGTTACCGTGCAACGAATTGTATACTTAAGTGACAATCGGTGCAATTAACCCGCCGGCATTCTGGACCAAACGGTTGAGCGAGTTTGTCAGAGGGAGCCGAATCTGCTAAAGAGTGGGCTCAGCTCAGCTTGGGCCAATGTCGGGACTCCAAGAAATTCGAGAAAGCCCGTTGCCTTGCTGTATATAACAACCTCGATGCTCGACCTAATCTCAAGTCTAGCTGCGACCTGTGAGGCGGCGAGACATCTTCGGCCTCGCAACCGCCTCCTTGTTACTCTTCGCTTTCTTTTCTTCTTCGCTTTTCCTTCGTGTTATTCATTTCCTTGCTACTAGGGCTAGATGTTAATGATATGAAAATCAGTTAAAGTTTCTCGGGCAGATGGCGGCGACTGTGATGACGAAACTTACATTTCTCGATACTGATCCGGTTTGTGAAAAATCGGGGCTTTTCTATAGGTATGGACCGTACCTTGGAAAGCCAATTCCTGATGACTGCGTTTATGCGTGTCTGAGCTCGCCTGCCTGCCCACTGCCTCCAAATGTTTTCAATGTCCTTTCATTTTTTTTATTTTGCTCTCTTTTGTTTTGTTTTCCAAAGGAGAACAGAGTCTCTTTCTTTCGAGGCTATAATGGCTGGAAGCTATTATCAGTGCTACTCTCCTTGCCATTGTTGACTCTGACTGCATCGGCGCCGCTCCCACGATTAGAGCCACCTGCACAATCATGGTGATAAGCGAAGTTTGTTGGGGATAATCAATTTTTTGAGTTTGTATGATTGTATCTACATTCTACAACAACTACGACCGATTGGAAGTTGGAACCATTTCGCTGTAATTTATAAGAAATTCCAACAATGCACATGTATTTGCAAAATTGATGACATCATAAGCGCAGTTGACATGGATACTTGTCAAGCGATTGACCGTTAGATTGCGTTCGACAGGCACAATCACGACTCGAATTGCTGACATGGAAATCACTAGTTTCCAGATATAGCTCCCAACTGGGCATTTGGAAACAAACCTCACTGCCTCCTGCACACCCTCTTTTACCTAGCTGTAGTAGGATGATACCGCCGGCAGCCTACCAGGAAAACCTCCTTTAAAACACACTGCAGAATGTGTTTTAAGCTCTATGTTGGCTTCATCAAGCGGATAAAGCATTGGTTTTCATTTCAGGAAGGACAAACATTCTTCTACCCATCAAGTGCAAGTCATTCGCTTTTCCATCCTCCTCTTTTCCCTTTTAGTTCAGGACTCAAGTTCAGAATGAGAACCCCTTTTCGGGATAGGCTCCACCGCGATTGAGTTCTTTGACCTTTGTGGCAGGCTAAGGTTTTATCGAGGTTCGATTCCCTCCGAAAAGCTGTGAAAACTACACTACTGAAGCCACACCACCAGATGATAGAACTGGAGTCCTACAGAAGGTTGCTCTCTTTTCTCAGTAATCCTCAAGAAGATTAAGAATGAGTTAAATCCTGTTCATGTTTTGCTCTTAATCAAGAAGATTAAGAATGCCTAGTGTATATAGATTAAACTTGAATGGCATTGGCAGTTGGTAGTTGGCAATTGGCATGCTGTTGGAATTGTAATTTTACTTCAACTAAACTACATACGGAGCGCGGGAAACCACACAACAGAAAAAACTTTTATTTATTTTAATCAGTGAAATATTGGAAGCGAAAAAAACTCCCAGCTAAATTCTATCCCGGAAAGGAATAGAAAAAGTAACTGTAATAATTATCTCTCCCTCTGTGCTCTCTTCTTGTTTTTGCCCCTGTTCCGCAGGCTCTCTCTCTCTGTCAATTCCTCGTGTTGCTGGGCCGTTCTATCGATCTCTCTTTCTTTCTTCTCCTGGTGTTTGGCCATGGAAGGAGAAATCAAGCTACCACGGCCAAAGCTGTTCGTAGGAGGAGTGAAGAGGAACACCACAGGGCAAGAACTAAAGGAATATTTCCAACAGTATGGCCAAGTAAAAGACGCCTTTATCGTCTACTGCAAGCAAACTTCACGAAGCCGAGGGTTTGGTTTTGTGGAGTTTGAAGACCCATCTGCAGCTGCTCTTGCTCTTGACGAGAAGCAGCACAACATTCTTGGCCAAGACGTGAGCTTTCTTGAAATCCTTCTTTCCCTATCACTCCTCACTGTTTCTTGTGTTACTTGTACTCTTTGTCCTGTAGAAGCTAAGGTGTTATTAGGTTTCTTCTTTTGCAAGTTACCGACAATACCTCTTTCTTGCAGCAGGGGTTTGTAAGTTACTCATGTATCTGGAATTACTGTGTGTGTATTGAGTAGGTGGATGTGGAAGTAGCTGAATCGAAGAAAACAGACAATAATGAGACTGTTGATGGAAGCGAGGGGGAGAGTCATAGAAGAAGCAAAAGGGTATTTGTCGGAGGCCTGCCATCGACGATTACTCCAGAGGAGTTTCAGAGTTTCTCTGAGAGCTTCGGAGCAGTGAGTAATGCAAATTTGGTGCACGACAAACACAGCGGGAAGCCAAGAGGGTTTGGGTTCATCACTTTTGTATCAGAGGATTCGGCGGATACAGCTTTGCAGAACAGATTCCACGAGTTGAAGGGGTCGCAAGTGGAGGTGAAGAGAGCAAATCACAAGAACAACTACGCTTATGACAATTTCGCCAGAAGATACCATGAATATGCTGCCCTTGCTGCCATGAACCATTCTTCTTATGTTAATGGTTATTATTACAATTACTGGTATAACCATCTTAACTATCAGCAAGCTTCAGGGCTCCCTTATTACTGGGCGCCAACGCCAGGGAACTACTGCCATTACTACCAATCTTGTTATCCAATGGCTGCTGCAAACTATGCAAGTCTTTCAGGTGACTGGTCCTATGATCCAGCCAATTCATTGCTATGTGGCTATGGTGACAACGACGTTGTGGGACATGACCAAGAAGACGCTGACATAAAGATTACAGACAAGAATGGTGAAGGTGTCCTGTCCTCCTAGAACTCCTTGTTGATTTCTGAATGGTTGCTATTGGGAATGTATCATGTTTCAACTTTTCTTTGTTGGGGGGGAAACATTGCAGGTCATGAGGATCATGTTTGGGATGTCTTGAGGAACTTGGATGAAGTTAATGATCATTCAGATGATCAACAAGGACCAGATGGTGAGATCAGAATCAATGGAAGTGCAGTTCATCATAACGAAGAAACCGGTATAGCTTATTGTTTCTCGTCACATATATGTCGAACATTCTAGTTACTGGTCAATTGGTCATCCAACTTGAAACTGTAGGTAGTGAGCACCATGATGATAAGCAAGTTTGGAGAAACTTGGATGGAATGAACAGGGAATTGATGGAGATCAAGGCTGGTGGTGGGGAACATGGAGAACTAGCTGTGGATAGAATGCTTGATGAATCAGAATCTGGGATTGGAAATGTTGGTTAGTTTCTTTTCTCCAATGGGACCAAGTATAATAGTGTTATCCTGTTTGCTTTGCATATGTGTTTGAAGAAGCATGAATGAGTTGCAATGCAATGTTTGGTTTCTCTTTTTGATGAAACAGATGAAGTAGATGGGGGAAATGCTGAAGTGGTTTCAGAGATGGTTACATATTCGCTGGAAAACGGGAAGGTTGATGGTTGGAGCATGGAAAGGAAGCCGCTACTGATGGAAAGCTTGGTGGCAGCAACCTGCATCCACACTTGAAAACCGCCAGCTTGGTAGAGGTTGATGATGTAGTGGGGTTTGTTTACGGGTGATTTGGGTTTTTGTTGTTTGGATTTTGTCGCACGCACGCTTGGGGCTGATCCACGAGTGGAGGGCCCCCAAGAATTGCTGTCTTTTGTGAATGGATGGATTGGGCTATTAATTTGGTCGATGCTCTTTTATTTTTTATCCAATTGGGGGTATTCTCGATCCAACTGCGCGGCGAGGGCAAATCATAGGTCTACTGTAGAGGAAGCCCAAGCCCTTTCACGTTGTGTTTCACCTTCGATTGAGGCGTGACACATCAGTGAGACGTGGTTGGGTTTGTATCGTTCCAATTTTATCAGATGTCCCCGAAGGGATAGATGTGGTTGAGTCTGATGACGAGATTATAACTAAAAACAATTGCTTCTAAAACGGTACCATATCGGCCGTCTGATCGAGAAAATATAATACCGGAGTATAAATTGGTAGCTGATTTATAGTTAGGGATGTCAATCTAACCCGTAACCATGGGTACCCTACCCGACCGTAACCGGTCAACGAGGGTAATTACCCGCTTTGACGGGTTAAGGGGCGGGTACGGGTAATACCCGGTTTCAAAATAAAGGGTAAGGTACGGGTATGGTAATCGATAATACCCGCCCCGTTATACCCGCCCCGCTAACCAAATGGTCAATTTCCCTTGAGAAATTTAGTTTAGCTACCATTATTGATGATGAAGATGTAGACGATTATTATGTTTGTGTGGATTGTAGAAATAAGAACAATTATTATGTTTTTGTTGTTTTTATTTGTGTGGATTGTTGAAGTTAGAACAATTAAAAGTATTGAGAATTTTTAATGGACAACAGTATGTATGTGCATATATTTGTATAAGTTCATAGTTTAGGATTCGTACCTATGATTACCCGAATACCCGTGGTTACCCGGTGGGTAGGGTATGGTTATATAATTTTCATACCCGGTGGTTATTTGGTCGGGTATTTTAGAAGGATCTACCCGACGGGTTAGGAGTGGGTATAGGGTAAACCCGCAGCCGACCCTACCCATTGCCATCCCTATTTATAGTAGTGAAATGGTTGAACTATGGCTAAACTATGTTTGAATGTAAAATACCCATATCGCTGACGTTTCCTGTACAATCTGCGGTACGGTTTACCATCCTTGTCGATCTGATCGAGAAAACCTCATACAAGAGTTTAAATCGGTAGGCGGGTTATAGGAGTTAAAAGATTGAACTACAGTTAAGCCACAATTTTAGTATAAAAATACTCATGCTGCTGAATTTTCTGGTACAACCTCTGGTACGGTTTTACAATCCTTGCCATAAACGTTTTGGTTTAAAAATGTATGGTGACTCAATCCCTTTGTGTTGTGAGTCAGCCACGAATGAATCAAGCAAGCTAAATACCTCGCATAAGAGTTTATACCCCAGATTCACAATGGAACGTCCTTTGACAGGCGTGCTTTTAGATGTCTAAAATAGACCTTGAGTGTGCTTTTGTAGGTCTGGACATTCTACACACCCTTTACATGCTCTGCTAGGGGTGGGCATGCGGTTCGGTAAACCCGAACCGACCCGACCCGACCCGAAACTGATTTCAACCGAACCGAAATTGAACAATTGCTATTCGGTTCGGAATTCGGAAGCCAAATACAGGTATATCGGAAACCAGGGTTGTCATGACCGAACCCAAATTCCGAACTCCGAACCGAAATCCCGAAATTCTGCTACCACCCCTGCTAAGCCTGTTACTCTACCCAGCCCAATCCCCCACAACCTACTTTCCAAGCCCATTACACCCACCAACCCAGACCTCTCCTAAAACCCATTACCCCCAAAACCACAACTCACAACCCTACTCTCCAAGACACCAACGGTCGCCGCTCCTCCCTCCGCTGGCGAAACGAGATTCTTCTCCACATGTGAGATGTCTTCAATACAATCACAGCTGCCGCTCCTCCTTCCAATTTCCAGATCTGATCGTGCCGTCCGCGACCGCGCATGTGTCATCGGTGGCCTCTGTCGGCGCCTGTGACCTTCCTCTTCCACTGTCATCGGTGAGCTTCCTCTTTACAAGGGTGGCAACCACATGCAAAGTTCAAAATGGCGGGAGTGGAAGGTTCTCGGTTGGAGCCGGATCTGGATATTGCCGCCGAAGAGGGGAGAAGGAAAAATGAGGAATTGAAGTGGGAGAGAGGAGAATAGATAGATTGGATTTTATGTGAGTCAATGAAGAGAGAAGAAATACCGAGAGATGGGAGAAAGATTGGCTTTTTAGGGCCTCCTCAGCTCCTATGTCTTCTCTTTTGAATTCGGGTTTGGATGTAGGTGGTTTCAGATTTGGAGTTCGCCAGTATCAGAGAGGGGAAAAGAAGATCAGAGATGGAGAGGGAGAAAATTGGGAAGGAATGAGTGAATGGAAAGGGAAAGGGAAAGAGGAAGAGGAAGAGAGAGAGAAGAGGTGGGGTGGGATGGGGTGTTGACTGTTGAGTCGTTAACTTCAAGGGGGAGAGAAGAGAGGGGTTCTTTTTTGTCCCTGCTGTCATAAATATCGTTTTGTATGGAAATCCGAACCGAACCAGAATATAATTCGGTTCAGACAAACCGAACCGAATTATATTTCGGTTCGAATTCGGTTTGGCCTGCACCTGAAATCGGAACCTCGGTAGTCACCTATTCGGTTCGGTTCAAACCAAACCGACCGAATGCCCACCCCTATGCTCTGCCCATGCAACACGTGTCAGTATCACTCACGAAGGCAGTGAAGCTCTACAACAATTATGTTCTTCATCGCTGCTGATAGCTTTCTCTCCATAATGGTGTGCTAACTCGAGATTGTTTAGGGATGTAAATTCAATGATGCTCATGTATCTTTCAATTATTCAATAAGATGTTGGTTTCATTAGATGATATATGATTCAATGCTTATTTTTTCATTGATGCTTATATCATCTAGTGTTTTCTTTCGATGCTTATGAATCCATTATATGCTACTATGGGCACGGCTTATAATATTATTTAGGATATTGGGAAACTACTTTCTTGTGATATGCTCTTATCTTATGCATGTATGTATGAATGGATTGACAGCCTATGCGTGTATGTTATGCTTGTGCATGATATAGATGATTGATTATTAGATCATCGATGCTATAGACCACTATTATGGCTCGTAGAGGCCCACAATTAATGATGTGTTATCCTTACTTCCCTATTCTTCATTAGTTAGTTGGTGGCAAGAAGCGAAAGCACACATTAGCTAATTATTGTTCCTTTCGCATGTGGCGAAAGCTTGATTAGAAATGCATTCGTGGAAGCGATATAGTATCACAATAGATGAAGTGTCAAAGTATATTATTGATGAGATTGTATGAATGTTAATCTAGAAAACACTACATAAAAAATAGTCCTATCAACATGTTTTCTCATCTACTTGACTGCTTGGTTTGTTTAATTGCCTTGCTTTGTTTACTTGCTTTCCTAGAACAGAATTCGACCAAGGGCACCTCAACCCTTCTTATTTACTTTTTGTTGCATTTCCATTCGAACACAAGTTGCTAGGTTTGATTAGTTGGTATCAAAAGAACTTGCGGAATACGATCCTAGCTATCTCTAAGATTATAACTTGGTTTACTACATCGAGTTTTTAGCGTCGTTGCCGGAAATTTTTATAGTATTTGAAAGAAACTGATAACTGTGTTCAAAGATATTTCACTAGTGTATTTTGTTTTGCATATCCCAAAGTCAAGAGCAGAGGAGCACCGCAAATCACATTGGTTTTTTATACCACAAGCCACTTAAAGTTGAATCCTTTAAGCAACACGCAAAGGAGAAGAAGAATTGGCACACTATTTGAGAACTCTAAGCCAAGGGCATTGATGCTCATAACAAGCAACATCTATCAAGCATCAAGCATTGAGGTAAAACCCTCATGGATGGAGATGGTAAAAGCATTAAAGCGGTTCTCGGGAGAGGATGATGGAGATCTGGTGATGCACATTACAGACTTCTTCAAATTTTGTTCAACAATATCAGGAGATGAAGGGGGAAGCTATATGCCTAAAACTCATTTGTTTCTCAGTGATTGGGAAAACAAAAAGGTGGCTCTATAGACATCCACCAAATACATTCAAAGCATGGGAGGATCTAGAACAAGAATTCATAGAGAAATTCTGCCCGCCATGGATAACGGACGAGCTCAAAGCCCATATCATGAGATTTCCACAAAAGAAAGGAAAATCATTCAATGAGGCATTGGATCGATTCAACAACCTGCTATGCACCTGTCCCCATCATGGATTCATAAAGGAGCAACTTGTTGAAACCTTATACAAGGGATTTAATGATCAATTAGCAACATAAACCAACCTACTAGCAAGAGGAAGCGTCTTTCAACTGAATGCATCAAAAGCCATGGAGAGACCAAGTGTCGTGCAAGAAGGAGATCACCCCCGAAGCATATCCATGCAATACACTTTGTTCATAATCCAATGGAGGAGATCAAGAATCAAAATGAGGAGATCATCAGTTAATAAGAGGATATTAAGAGGGAAAACGAGGAGATGAAGAGGGAAAAAGAATCATTAATAGGAAGAATGTCCAACATGGAAGCAGCAATCACCAAGATCTTTGAGGACACAGAGCATTTGAAGGAATTGTGCAGGATAAACCATCTTAAAAGTCAACCTGACATATTAAGGAAGCTAAATGAGAAGTGCAGAGTTGACTCAAACATGATGGAGATACAACAAGCTATCAAAGTACGACTGGAATAGTCGGGGGGTCCTGCTGATTTGTTCACGAAGCCGGTTCCATATGGCAAGTTCAAACAATGCTTGGACTTTCTAAATCTCTTGGGTGCTCCGCCCTACGGGGCATTGATGCCGGGAGAGAGAGAGAGGAGCAGAGTACATCAGAGATTTCAAAGGAAGAGGATTCAAGTCAAGGTGGAGATTTGTTGATGTGACTTGAATCGGACTATCATCCGCTACGACTGGAATATTCGGGGGTCTCGCTGTTATTTGGGTTTGGGTTTAGGGCCTGGTCTGTAACCGTTTCCTTTTCCATATTGGATTAGGTTTAGACCCAAATGGAGAAGTATAAATACTTCTCATCCCCTCTGTAATCTGTAATCTCCTCGATATAGTGAAACTGGCTCTCTCTCGCCCGTGGACTAGCTAACACACA